GGAATTTGCCCTAAGCCTTCGAGTTTTCAGGCCCTCTTCTAATACCACCTCCCATCTTCCCCCCACTACTGGGAGGTCAGCTGGATCTGCTCTCTGTCCCCATCTTACCAAAGAGGAAACTGAGGCTGCAGTAAGGGCCACACCCAAGATCCCAACAGTCAAACCCCAGAGCCAGGGTTCGTCAGACCACCTCCAGAGGTTCCAGGCTACCAGGCTGCCACCTTGAGGGTCTGGGTGCCACAGACATGTGTGGCTCAGCCATAGAGCTCCAAGTAAATACCGTCCTATTTCCCATGTCACTGCTGCTCTTTGTAGAAGAGGAGGGGAGAGCCCCAAAGTCCTGGCAGAGACAAGACTGCCAGGGAGTTGGTGTGGCTTGGGGTACTCCATATGGCAGGTGGTCTCTCCTCGTGGCTTTCACTGGATGGGCCCACTAGGTGGCCTGGCAAGGTGCAGCACATGGAGTAAGGGGCCATCATGAGGTCCAGCCTGCCTATACCACGGGGCCCTCTGTGCGATTGGCTGCCTGGGTGTGAATCAGATGCTGTCTATCTTTCCAGCTTTCCGTGGAGGAGGCTGAGGCAGCTGGGTCTGGTCCAACTCACAAGGTTGTTTCTGCTGAGGATTCAATTTAACATGAGCTCATGATCTGTATATGCAGCTGCACTCCACACCTCCATCTCAGAATGAGCCCAAACTGACTCCTACAGACCTTCTGGGGCCTACTGTGACCCCTCACTGTGTGACTCAAGTCCCATCAGCATCTTTATGTGTCACCCCCACTCAGAGACTTTGCAAGGGCCAACTGGGTGCCCAGGAAGCTCAGCGCTGCATTCCTAGTAGCCGAGGTCAGCCCGTGCGCTCTCTGTGGCGCTCTGCTGCCTCTGCAGCGGCCTGGCTCAGCCTCTGCTGCCTCCCTCATGTGTACGTCTCTCACTGGAACTGAAGCTCCGTTAGTGCTTGGCCAGTCCCTCTGCCAGGGTCTTGAGGGGATGAATGGTGACAGGTCCCACTTGAAATGGTTGTGACATGGAAGAGTAAGAAGGTATAGACCCTGGAAGACTCTGGAAGGGCCACCCTGGCCTGCAGCACATGCTTGTGGCTCTGCCCCTCAGCACACGGCGGGCATGGGAGGCTGCAGGGCACTTCTAGACTATGGCATGAGAGGAAGCAAGGCCTGAGGGACAGGAAAAGTTGTTCCCAGTCCTTCCAGGCAGGTTCAAGTGTGTTCAAAAGTATGAGACAAGCCTAGAGCCAGAACTTGGCTTTAAGGACATGGAAGTTTCTGCCCAATTTTTTTTTTAAAATTTTCAGCCTATCCATGTTTTTTTTATTAAAGTATCTTTAATATACAATCTTATGTTGATTTCAAATGTACATCACAGTGATTCAACAGTCCCCATTATTAACTTATATCATGATTGCAAATTATTGTGCCCTTTTATTCCCCTTCCCCTGCACCTACCCGTCCCCCCCACCCTTGGTAACCACTAGTCACTTCTGTGTCTATGAGTCTAATTCTGTTTTGTTCCTTTGTTTTTATATTCCACAAGTAAGTGAAATCATAAAGTTTTTGTCTTTCTCTACCTGGCTTATTTCACTGAGCATAATATCCTCTAGATCCATCCATGCTGCAAATGCTTTCTGCCCAATTTTCGTGTCCACCAGGGCTCATCCTGGCTCCTTCATGTTCTTCATCTTTTCAAAGCAAACTCAGAAGCACCTGAGTAGCTCACAGTGCCATCTGCAGTCACTCTGAAATATATTTTAATATAAATTACACTCCATTGTTTTCCCTCAGGGTGTGTGCACAGGCAGGTTTTAGTGTGTGTACATTCCACTGCAGGATGGCAAAAGAGCACAAGTAAGGCTGTAAAAAAAGTAGGTGTGTGCCTGAGCCCTGGGCCACTCAGTGGGCAGGTGGGGATGCTGTAGTGGGCCCAAGGCTTTACCTACCTGGCTGGCCTCAGACACAGCCTGGAAATTTAACAACGGCTGTTTACCAGTCAGGCATTTCTTCCATTGCAAAAGCTCACCCAATCACCATGCCAACTCTGTGAAAAGGGGGACTATTAAGCCTCCACCTTACAGATGATGAGCCTAAAGCATGGAGGGCCCAGTTGCTTGTCCAGGTTTATACACAAAGTAGCAGGTCAAGACTGAACTCTGTGCCTAGAAGGAAAAGAATTACAAAGTCCAGATAAAGTCTGCTGTAGAAAGGCAAGCCTTACTGTGGGGACCATGTCAGAGCTGGTCTACATCTTTGTCTTTGAGCTTCCTGACTACAAAACAAAGAAAGAAATGGGTTAATTCCCTTGGAGTCAATAGGGAGCCAGCTTTTGGATGCTGGAAGCTGAGAAGACTTGCTCCCCAGGAGTGGAAACTACAGGATGGGTAGGTAGCAGTATACTATTTGTACCACAAACACCTGCACTGGTTTGGGTTTTGACCACCCAAGCAAGTGCAGTGTGACTGAGGTGGGTCTGAAGAGCAGCTGCTTGTGGCCCAGCTTCATCCGCAAGCAGGTGGAATAGAGGACACATGAGAGAAGGGGAACCTGGAGCCACTGAATGTTCCTGTGTTGCTGCCGACACAGCCCCAGAGTTTGGACTCTGCTCTCCATTACAGCCCTGCCCCATCACACTGCCTAACAGAGAACATCCCTGGTCTCCACCCAGCGGCCAGAGCTCAAGTCCTGTTTAGCACTGTGCAGCTAGGGCTGCAGCCACAGGTGGGCCAGTCCTGTCCCCTTGCCTTCAGAGCTGCTGGCATGTATGTCCCCGCTCTCAGGCAGACCAGGGGTCAGACACACTAGCTCTGATCCTTGGCAGGCTGGGGTTCAGATCCTGGCTCTGCCCCTGGAGGAAAGAATCTGTATCATGCTCAGCCAGCAGGCAGATGGTCGCCAGGAAGAGCTTTACCATCATCTGTGTGGCCAGTGCTGGCTGTGGGTGAGAAGGGGAATCTTCTTACCAATGCCAGGTCAGCAGCTCCTCAGCTGCTAGGGGTGGAGCTGGCATGCAGGGCCCAAGTCCACAGCAAAACCAGCGGCTTCGCTGGTTAATCTCAGCACTCACACTGGGGCCAGGGCCCAGAGCTCAGAGCGGAACTGAAAGGGAGACTAGGCCTGTTCCCCTGTTAGCTTGGCCTACTTCCTACTGAGGACTCAGAGCCAGTGGGGAAGGTAGGGGCCAGGCAGGGCCAACTTCAAAAGCAAGAAAAGGGAAATAGCCCTTCATACCTTATCCATTTTGCAGACAAGAAATAGAGGCTCTTGTGAGGCTGGCTGATGGTGAAAGCTGCCAGGAGAGCAGACGCCCTACTCCCAACATCCCGTGCCATGCAGGTGCTGTGGGAGACACCTGTGTGCCCCACATGTCACTGGCTCCCAGGCTAAGAAATTGGGGTTTGGGACATGTGCAAGAGAAACTCGAAAGGCAAATCCGCCTGGCAGGTGCTGGTCACTTATGGTAGGGTCTGACTAGGTGTGTAAGCTCTCCAAGTGTGTGCCTGCTTTTCTATGTTTGTGAGACCGTGCAGTAAGCAGTGTTGAAGGTCAGTGGTTGCTGGAGTTGTGCTGCTCTCCCCAAACTGCTGGAGATGGGCCTGGATGAGCCCCAGTTTGGTCAGCAGGCACACGGGCCCTGGGGTCACCATCCTCTATCAGAGATTCCTGGTGCCTGCAGGTCATAGTTACTCATGCATATGGTTTTGGGGGTCAGCTCTTGCCACACCTTTTGAAAAGGTAGGCCCTGCCCCAGGTATGCCCCTGGGGAGAGGAAGTGGGGTTCAGAGCTCTGGTGCTGGCCTTTGGGCCTGCCTTGCTTCCATCCCCTGCTCTGGGAGGGGCTGTGGTGCTCCCCAGGGGCAGCTGGCTGTCTCCTGGCCCTTGGGAAGTAGCTGCTGGAGGGAGGGGGACTCAGTTGGGCCTTTGTGCACATCCCTCATCTCTGGCTCCTTTCGTCCACTCTTACCTTCCTTTGGCCTCTGCCAGAGGCAGCTATCAATCATCTCATGATCCCAGAGAAACAATCTTATCAGGAGGAAGAGATGGGGGACAGTGGAAGGGTGACCTTGCTTCTCAGAAGACTCCTGCCCTGGAGATGCTGGCTCCTGGGAACACGCATCTCTAGGGTCTCTAGCCAGGCTGTCGGGACCTGAGAGGAGCTCTTGTGGGCTAAGGGTTAGGGGGCCATCTCCCATGTACTCTGAAACCTTGTGCCTGGGGGATGTCATGGGTAATTCCTGGGCACAAGGTTCTATGTGGGTTTCTCACTGGTTGTAGGTGGGGCAGCTGTGCCACGCTTTGTCCCTTAGGGCACATTGGCAGAAGCCCCAAGAGCCTATGGCTAAGCTACTCCAACCCTACCCCCAACCCTGCAGCCAGATCCACTCCTCCTGTCCTTCAATGGATTAGTGGGTGTGGACTTTGAGGTTCCAGGCTGTGTGCTCTAGATAAGGGTTTGGAACCTGGTTTTCTCATTCCCTTGGAAGTAAATAAGTTCCCCTCCAAGATCTGAGTGCTTTCTCTTTAAGATCTGCCATTAGGCCAGGAGAGACCTGTCTGAAGGGGGCGCTGATGGATGACAAAGGCCTGGTCCCATGGCGGTCAGCCAGCATCACGGAGGGAATGGGGGCTTGTTGTGAGGAGGGGTTAGCAGCCTATGTGACCAGCCCGTGTGGGGGAGCTCTTTGCTCCACCAGTGGGAAGAGAGAAAAAGTTGTCAGCAGGCACATACACGTCAGAGCTGAAATGTCCACAGGCCCAGGGGAAGGGGGAGTTGGCCTCAGAAACCTGTGGGGATGCGTGGCCGGGGGGGTGAGGGGGGGCGGCGCTTAAGAGCCTCTAGGCTCTAGGTCCTCTGCAGGCTCCTACAAGCAGAAAGCCAGAACTTCCTCCAGGCTGGTGTCCACTCAGCAGCACCATAAGCACTCATTCCATAAGCTAGGTGCCTGGCAGGGTGAAGGGCAAGTCTTGAGTGCCTCCCTTGGTCTCCTAGAGTTCAAAGCCCAAGTTACAAGCAGCCTGCTCTAGCATCCAGGAGGTCCGGCGATGCACACGCCTTGAGATGCCCGACAACTTGTACACCTTTGTGCTGAAGGTGAGTGACAGCTTTCCACATGGGGGTTAACACATACCTCAGGGATCCCACATAGTGGTTCCCTCCGTCCCTGCCAGGTGAAGGATCGGACAGACATCATCTTTGAGGTGGGAGATGAGCAGCAGCTGAATTCATGGATGGCTGAGCTCCAGGAATATACAAGCCAAGGGTAAGGCCCCAGACCCTTATGGCCCCAACCCTGGTATAGCTTTTACTATGTCCCTAACCTACTCAGATCCTAATCCCTGGCCTCTTCTCCAGCAGGCTGGAGAGCACAGACCCAGAGATGCATATTCCCTCAGCTCCAGAACCCGGCACATCCAACTCTCCAAGAGGAAGCATGGATTCTCTGAACCAAGGTGAGTGGTTCTGGGCCTGGGCCTTTCTCCTCCACGTACACTGGAGCCCAGCCTCAGCCCAGGACCTAGGCATCCACAATGGCTCACCACCACCCACTTCTCTACCAGGTGCTTCTCCTGGGGGGTTGCTGGACCCAGCCTGCCAGAAAACCGATCACTTCCTGTCCTGCTATCCCTGGTTCCACGGCCCCATCTCCCGAGTGAAGGCAGCTCAGCTGGTTCAGCTGCAAGGCCCTGATGCTCATGGAGTGTTCCTAGTGCGGCAGAGTGAGACACGGCGTGGGGAGTATGTGCTCACATTCAACTTCCAAGGCATAGCCAAGGTATGGGTCCAGGTGGGGTAAGCCCCTCCCCACCAAATTTAAGGCCTTCCAGGGCCAGAACGTGAGCCTGCTGTCTCCTGCAGCACCTGCGCCTGTCACTGACTGAGCGGGGCCAGTGCCGCGTGCAGCACCTGCACTTTCCCTCAGTTGTGGACATGCTACACCACTTCCAACGCTCACCCATCCCACTCGAGTGCGGTGCCGCCTGTGACGTCCGGCTGTCCAGCTATGTGGTAGTTGTCTCCCAGCCACCAGGTATGACCCTAAAACCCCTTTATAAAGGGGGTGGATGAGCCAGGGAACCAGGTAGAAGGTAAAAGCTTGCTACAAACCCAGGGGCAGAGAGATCTTTGCATCCTTCCAACACTTACCCCACCCCATAAAGACTGACACTGTGGTCTCTCTCCATCACTTGTCCCACAGGGTCCTCCAACACCGTCCTGTTCCCTTTCTCCCTGTCTCGCTGGGACTCAGAGCTGGGCCTTCCCCACCTTAGCTCTTCTGGCTGTCCGCAGAGACTTGGCCTAGAGGCCCTCCCAGGCCGATCCTCTCCCCCAGAGCAGATCTTCCACCTGGTGCCTTCACCGGAGGAGCTGGCCAACAGCCTGAGGCACCTGGAGCCCGAGCCTGCCAGTCGAGCCCGGGACTCAGACTACGAAATGGACGCCTCTTCCCGGAACCACCTGCGGGCCATAGACAATCAGTACACACCTCTCTGACAGGTGGTGGGGCACCCCAGGCCTCCCAGAGGCCCCCCTGAGGAACACAAGCAAGCAGAGATGTGAACTTGTGAATGTAGCTTTTCTTCCTTCCAGAGAGAGGTTTAAGGGACACTTAACTGCTCATTCCAGTTGGGACGTGACCCTTCTATTAGGCCTGTTAAAGGGCCTCCTGTAAGTTTCATCCATTACCTGGCTTTCTCCTTATTGTTTACAGATGTAGTTCTTGTTAGCAGTTGCCACTAGCTTCTGCCCTGGGTCTGTAGGACCTAGTCCTCATCACTCTTAGAGGCACTGTTAGGGTGAGGGGGTCAGAGCTGGCAGTGGAAACTTGTTCTCTTCTTCACTGGCACTGTCACAGCTGATGGACTTTCTACTGGGGGGTGGGGTACAGTGGGGTCGGGTCATCTGGAAGCCCAAAACACTAACAAACCCTGGATTCCCCTTTCCTATTGTATTGTACTTTAGTCCACGTGGCAGGTCTGCTGTGCCCAGGCCATAGGTGACCACACCTACCCTGCCTGCCTTCAACTCTCAGCTTTAGGACACAGCTCTGGCAGATGGATAAACTTAAAGGTCAAAATTATTTTATACATTTTACCTCAGATTAATTTTTCAAAGGATTCAGGTTTCAAAACTAAATCATAGGTTATTTCATTGTACTGTTTGGACTAATACCCATGTGATTTTTGTAGTCAGAGACCACTATGCAAACCCTACTTGACTAGTTTTTGGTCTGAGCCAGCATGCCTGGCTTCCTTGTTTATGGCATCCTCAGGACAGTCACCTCTTGCTGAGTGGCCACTGTCCTAAGTATAGAGAAGTGAAGCATGTCACCCTTTCAGGGAAATTCAGGCAATTACTGAAATAGGGTGGCATGAATAAAACCTGGTGCCTTATGAATAAACTGGATTCTGGTTTATAGCAGCTTTGTGAGGGCGGGACAAGCAAAAAGGGAAGAAGGGCTCCTGGGCCCTTTCTAGTAATTCCTTCACCACCAGGGCTTGGCTCCAAGACCCCTAAGCATTTAATAGCTTAAATTATTGCACAAGGTTTCAGGCTTATTCTTGAGCCAACATGGAAGCTAGGAATCTGGTGCACAGCTAATAAGAAGCGCCTTTAATAGCCCCCAGTGTTCTGTTCCAGCTGGTTCCTGTTTCACTGATTAAGAATGTGTGTGCATGTACATGGGGTACATACAATCTCGAATGTCCAGGCAGGTCCTGCAGTCAAATCTCCATCTATACTTGCCTTTCACAAGTGATAGTGAATTCATAGCAGGGCTGGTTCCTCCCAGAACTTTCACAGGGAGGCTCAGAAACAAGGGGGGAGGGGGATCAGTGACAGAGTTGAGTCAGCTGCTCCTGGGTTCCAGCAAAGTTATTCAATACAGCCATCAGGCTTACCGAAGGAACTTCCAGGAAACTGGGAGTTTAGCACAGCCTAACATTTACAGATACATCAATCAGAGGCTAAAATTAAACCTTGGCCTAAAACTACTGACTGCCTTATCTCATCCAGCCATTCTCTGTACTCCCGAGAAGTCAGAGATCAGACTTTTGCTTCAAGAACTTTCTTGGGGTGGGGGGGGGGCAAGCAGCCACCTCTTTACCAGTTTTAAAATTAACACTCCTACTCCTGGGTATTTGTAAAATAGATCCAGATTTGTGGTCCATTTCTAAGGATATTTCTCCCCCACCCCCCCTTATTTTATATAGATCAAGCAGGTTTCTCTAAGTAATGAATGCTAAGCAAAGTGTGAACCAGAGGAGTGAGCATCATACTGGATTTCTCTCTCAAAAGAGAAAAGCTCAGCATGAAAGTCAGTGCTGTTAAATCCCTGGTACAGATTTTCCCCTTGTCTGTACAGGGAAGGGACCAAGTGACCAAGCAGACAATGAACCAAGTTAAGTTTGCTTCCTCCAGCCAGGAGTGTAAACAGCTGAGCTGTGACATCTTCAAGCCAGGGGACTCACTTCTTAGCAACCTCTTAACATACAATTCTCAGGTAGCACTCAGCCAGGCACAACAGACTAGCAGCTCTTACCCACTGGCTACAAAATATAAGCTCAGACTCTGACAGAGTTGGAAGTCACCCACCTCCAGACTGCGTCAGCATAACATGTCCGAGAAAAACATTTCCTCTCAGTTCAAATACTTTCCGACCAAAAGCCCCCTCCTGGCCTGGAAAGAAGTGACACTAAGCTAATGCCTTTCTGCTAGAGCAGACTGAGCTGGAGGAAAAGGGAGCAATGGATCCCTGGGCTTGATGCCCTCACAGGCCGAGAGGTAATGATATTGCTGGCTGCAGCGGCCCACTGTGGTTACAGTACATTCCACCACCCTCCTTCCAGTCCCGATGTGACCACTGCTGGCAGCAAGATGCCAATCTAGCAGCCTCTGCTGAGAGCCCAGGCTCTGCAGGCCAGATGGACAGTGAACATCGCAACCCCTCCAGTTATCTCTAATTACAGACAAGGATAGCTTGACTGCTCCCAGCACCATCACTTCCTTCATCTGACTTTAATGAACTTTTTACAAACTAACAGTCACCAGCACCAAAGAATTAAGTCAACTAACCTGCCTTGAATTTTAGACCAGCAATCCATATGGCTTTATCTGGTATAAATCTTCTGCCTTTGATCATTTCTGGACGTGTAGGAAAAAGGAATAGCAATCATTAAAATCTTAGGCCAGAGAACACTATTTTTACATAACAGTTTCTTAACCTAAAATTAAGGCCTTGAACTCTTCCCTAAGGGCCGCCTCAGATTCCTTTATGCTTTTAATCAGGGCTTAAGTCTCTTATCACAGATATCATGTGGGCACTAATATCTCCCACAGGCTAGAGGAACTTAGTAGTATATTATCCACTGCCTCTTAACAAGGACACATCTGACATCCAGTGTTTGGTTGGAATAAGCACCACACTGTAACGAGAACGCAGAAAATGGATTCATCTTGTACCATTATAGGCAGTAGGTATTTGGCAAATTTTTATGTATTGTTTATGTACTGTACAAGTAACTTATTCTTGAATAATGCAAATTTTGCTACAATGTACAACTTGCTACATATGAATTAAAAAATAGTTTTCAGAATCCCAATTTGTTGCCACAGTATTTGAAGGCTCTGTTACAACTATGATCTCTATAAAATCCGTACCCTGCTCAAACATGTGCCTTTGTCCTCTCACAAGATGTGGACTTAAACACTATGAGTTAACAGCTGTAAGCTGCTTTGTCCACTGCTGCATCGGGATTTCTTTATCACATTAAAAAAAAAGTGCATCCTGCCCCCTACTGGCCAGAGATGCCTGAATCAGAACAACTTACGACTCCCACACTTGCTTGGTTCAGGAGATAGTAAAAAGGAAGCTTACACAATCAGCATCAGGCTGAGGATGTGGAGTTCAGTGCTGCCCAACTCTGGCCAGCCTTCCTCCTTCTGAAGCAGACCTCTATCCACCAAAGAGATTATCTCAGTCTTGTCTTTTTCTAGAGATACCTTGAACCAGAACTAGAGGTGAAGAAGAAAAATCATTTGACAACTAACCTTCCACATTAAGAAAGCACACACTGCCCTCCTGCTTACTTAAGTCCTATAATACAAATAGCTTATACAAACACACACTAACTTGGTATCAGTTTTTAAAACTTTTTTTATTTTTTAATTTTTTTTAAGTTTTTATTTTATATTATCTACAAAGTAAAAGTTTTTTCCCTTAACTTAAAAGTTGAACCACTGTAGACAGTGATCACTTCATCAAACTTTATAAATAATAATCCGTCAGTTTGACGGTAAGAATTTACTGAACCTTTGTCAAGTTTAGTAAAAGGGTGTTCCAAGTCTTGATTTTTTTTTAAAGCAGTAATAGCAGCAAGAATCACTCTTGTTACTTCTTTTGCTAGCCGATGTGTTCATGACTTTCGAGGGTCACTAAAAAATAAATAACTTCCAGTTTCAGCAAGCAGAGCTGGGGTACTTGCGGGAGTCTGAAACAGCGCATGGAATTATGGAACAGCCCACAAGTCCTAACTGCCTCTACTCGGCCCAGACAGCTTCCGCTGCAAGTGAACTGTTAGCATTCCTATTGGATGTTACAAGAAATCACATTAAAAAAAAAAAACCCAAAATAAATGAAATTCTAATTTTCTGTGCTTCCAGTTGGTAGAAGCAGTAGAAGGGAGGAGGGAATTTGGCCTTTCGGTTCCTCCAGGGCAGCCTTACAACTGCTGTTGGTGGTGGGCTTGTACTGTAAAAGAAGAAAAGTGAATATTTAAACAGAAAACTGGCAACACTGCACATTAGCCTAGTGTCTCTGCAGCACAGGACCATAATCTATTCTTGTGCTAGCTGAAGGAGACTCAAAACTTAATCACTCTCCCCCCTCCCACCTGCACCAAAAGGGGGAGGGAGTAGGTAGGTGGAAACAAACCAATCAGACGTAGAACCACTTCAGATAAAACTCCCAGAAGACTTATTGCTCAAGGGGTAGGAAAAAAAGGCCTCCCCAAATATTAGCCAAGCACCAGTACTGCTTTCAGAGTAATAACAGGTTAGACTGAAATATCGCCATGGCAGCCATCAAGTATTAGAGCACAATCACAGGGTACTCTACCCTTGTCAGGGCATAGGCTGAAGCTAGTACTACACTCAAAACCAATCCATTCACAGCACTTTCTCATCAGTAGCAGTCTCCAGAACTACAGTCAAACTCTGCCATGGTGATAACCCCCCGCATCAGACTGTTGGGACTCAGGAAGGAAAACACTGCCCTGTCCAGCCTATCGTAACAAAGGAGGCCAACTGGGTCCTAAGCATGTGTCAGCTACACAGAATCCTGCTACTGCTGCTCATCAAGCCCAATCCTGTATACCATCAGAACACACACAGACTTGGCTCCCAGGAGCCTCAGGCCCTGACACTGAACTGATCACCACAGTCCCTACTGTGCACACGCTGACAGCTCTTGCTGGTTCTCAAATGTGGGGCTTGAAGCGCTGGCCCTGCCTGCCATTAGACCTGAGCGAGCAGAATTCTTTGGAGTGCCCGGCGGCCCCTGCACACACACGCCTCACCTGAAGGGTGCGTCATATAGGGGAAATGCGCTGTTGTCGAGACTGGAATGGGCTGTAGTGCACTTTGAGCGAGGGCGGCCTGGGGACCGCCGGGTGGCTGTGTCGTCATTAGCATCATTGGCGCATGGGCAGTTGGATGAGAAGGAACCATTCCTGACTGTACATGAGCCTGAAACAGAGAGCTCTTTTACGCATACAGGCAACATCTCCAGCTTAAACAACATGTCAACTGTGTTCCTTTCACTGGGCTGGGCTCTAAGGGAAGGGCAACAGTGGGCCCTCATGGCCCTTTCTTTCTCTAGGGACACTCCCTAGTGGATAGATCAACTGATCTACTGACAGGCTTTACCCTCTAGCAGATCCTGCATGACTGAGGGAATAAGCACCCACAAAGCCTGTGTCAAAGTGAGGGCTGCAATATCCTAGCCTTCAACATTTCTGATACTGGATTCAATGCTGAGGCAAGGTCTTCACAAAGATCAGAGCCCAGATGTAAGCAAGATACAATGATGATTCAAAATCTGGCTTCCATGCGAGGCCTGCAGTTTTAAAGATATCATTCCTTTCAAAGAGGAAAGCAGGTTTACAATGTAAGCAGAGACAGTTGAACTCTTTTCTTTGGACTACTTAGCTCTCTCTTCCTTTGTCCCATCCCCTCTGCTGTTTGCTTGCTCACCAGCACACCTCAGTGAAGAATGAGTCAAGGCAGTGAGAGAAGACTCTCAGGCCCCATTGGCTCTGCTAAAACATCTGGTAAGGCAAGAGGGGATGGGTTATAGTTAATGGCTCCAGTGAAATGGGGGAGGGGGGGTGGTAATCATCTGGACCAGCCCAGTGTCCCTGTACCAACTGATTGTGAGTTCAACCTGGTCTCACTGTCAGGATGGAGAGGTTTTAGTCAGCCCAAGTAGCTGGACTCCAGCTCTGCAAGGATTTGGCAGGGCCAGGAGGAGCCCTCATTTCCTGCCTCTGATACTGTGCACTGTTCTAGACCATGATAAGCCTTAAATTAAATGCTGTTTTTACTCTCTTACATATTCAAATGCACCCATGGCCTATTTGGGCTTCCTTGTAAATGTTAACTTTTTTGTTCTTTCAGCACAAAAACACCAAAGTGAGGTTTTGGGAACCCTAACTTACATGTAAATTCACATAGCCACCAGACTCTACTAGACATCTACAGGACCCCAGCTCTCATGAAGCTCCTGATTCAGCCAAACCATGCTGGCTCACACCTGACCAAACCAGCTCCCCTCCCCACTGTCAAAAGCAAATCATCCACTGCAGTGTGCCACATTACAGAACCTACTCTTGTGCAGGGGCGGATGTCCAACTTCCCCGAGCTGTGGCCCTCGAGTTACAAGGCTGCCTTCTGAGTTAGCTCCCACTGAAGCGCATCTCCAGCCCCCACCACGGCACAGCCTCAGGGGCACAAAGTTTGACATGAAACAGAGTTCAGTGAGGCAGTCTAGCTTAGACCAGCCTAAGAGTTCTGTTATGAAAGCAGCAAAGAAACATCGCAATTCACCCTTAAGCTCCAGGGTGTATTAGCCCAACGCAGTATTAGCCCAATCTCAGTGCAGCTCTTTCTCATTAAGACAGTCCAACTGGGCCCTGGATTGCACTGAACTTTGGTCAGCAGCTGATGCAGACAGCATACCACTGAGATGGCAACCACACCTTTCCACCTTCAGAAGCTTATACTGGAGGTGAGCTCCAAAGTGCTTCCGAGGCTGCTCTAAAAATGGGAACACTTAGGTGCTTCCTGCTTCTAGTTACACCGCACCAGTATACAAGGCTAGGCCTTTTCAAGAACTACAACATAGGGTCAAAGCAGATGTATGAATAGCCAGGGAAAACAAGTGGAGAGATTTCTCCAGAGCTCATGTGACTAACATTCAAGCTGACAGGCCCAGGGTCACCTCAGGGAGCTGCAAGTTTGTGATGGCCCACCCTCCCTGCCAGATTTCTTCTGTGCGCACGCGCATGTGTGCGTGAGAAAGGGAGAAATATATATATATATATATATATATATATAT